ACCTGTGAAGAGTAAGGGGCACTGGAGAAGGCAGGGAGAGCCTTTAGATTACAAGGCAGGCCTGACACCTGTGAAGGAGAGTGGAAAGGAAAAAGAGGATCCCAGCATGTTTTCTAGAATAGTCTAGCTAGGCCAATGGGGAGTCCTCAGACTGGACGCTCCTATTAAGCAGTTCCATGTCTTGTAGGAATGGCCATTCAGCCATTCAACCCTCTCAGTCACTAGCTGGGCTCAGCTGCAGCACAGAGACAGGGACTTCTTATCCCCTGAGAATCCTGACAGTAACCATCTCCATGTCACCAAAGCAGAAACTGAAGTGCGGAAAGGCCAGGGACCTGCTGGAGGGTGCCAAAGAAGTGGGGTCCTTCTGGAAAGTGTTTGTATATTTCAGAAGGTGAAAATGAAACTCTTCCATTAGGAGACACTGAGGAAACCTCAATTTACATTCAGTGTCTGCTGGCTTCTTCCCCTAGGAGAATGTCAGCCTCAGAAGGACAGAACCCTAGCCTGTTTTGCTCACTGAGGTACCCTAGCACCTAGCACCTAGCACAGTCTTGCAACATAGCTGGTGCTCAATAAATATTTGCTGTGAGAAGACCTGGTAGGATGTGCTGGTATGTCCCCACCTCACTGGTTCAGCAAAATCCTAGTCACTCATTTTAAAGTGGAATCAGATGGTTTTAAGTGCCTAGGATCTTGTACACAGGAAGCAAACAACTGCCCAGGGAATTTATGTTCAAAATTCCTTGCCCATTGCTCAGTATTCCCTGCTAGGTGCTCAGTGCCTGATATAGTACTCACTAAATACTTAGAGAAAGACAGAGTGAGAGTGATGAGATGGGGGAGGGAGGGAAAGAAAGCAAGCAGGAAAGAGGAAGGAGAGAAGGCAGGAGGGGGGGAGTGGGGAGGCAGATCTACAGTGTACCACGCTTGGAATCCATTGACTCCCTTTTAGCCTTCTCCATCTGCCTCGCTCCAGCTCAGTCACAACTTCTTCATCTTCTTTCAGGATCTTCAGCTGATGGTTCCTTAAGCGAATTTGCCTTTATTTGCTTAGGCGTGGGTGGGAGGAGTGATGCATTGCTGCCTTCAATGTGTGTGTGGGGGGGGGAGGAGGGAGTGGGAGGTGGGTATTGATAAAGCTATGAACTAGGTTTGGTGCCTGTAGTACAGTGGTTATGGCGCCAGCCATATACACCAAAGTTGGTGGGTTCAAACCCAGCCCTGGCCAGCTAAAACATCAATGACAACTGTGA